GACTATTAAATGATAGAAAGCTAACCTGTCTTATTAGAAGTGTGAATGAAAGGGAGCAGAGGAGGTTACCAGCTTGTGAAATGTCAAGGACAACTAGACAGAAATTACTGCAAATAGATTTAGATCACTAGAATCCCTATTTTTATTAACTCTTTGAACTCTAGATATTTATTGTGGTAAGAAATTACCCATGACAGGTTATGTAGTCGGAAAGATTTATTTAGAACCTTTGATATGTTTTGGCAAGAGCAAAGAAACCAATAAAATTTACTGAATTGTATCGGTTAATGCAAAATTATATATCAACTGAATGGCATACAATAACGATAATGCATCTAAAATGCTTAATTGGTCTGTGACTATTTTAAAGGTATCAGACTTCTTTAAAATATTGTTCTTCTGTGTCTTCTTTGCATTCCCTTATTTTCTGCCTGAAAACTGATGTAATTTCTGAGGAAGCCTTTTTATGTTGTTATTTTGGATGTTTTCCTTCATGGCTTGATTTACGCTGACTGACTCAACATTTGTAGTGTAGGAAGAAAATATTTTGAGTTTTGTCTTTCATGAACATTTGTGCTTGAAACATAAACTTCTCCACATCATGGTAGCTTCAAACAAGCATTCCTTTGCATAGACCTGGCTTTGCGTTGACCTTGTGCTGCTACTGACACTGAAGGTGCAATACGAGTTTTAAGGCTCCACTTATCAACTGTTCTGTCTGTCAAGTGGAAAGCAGATCAGCAGACAGAAGCTCCTCTGTGTCCCATCCCCTGGTGTAAATACCATCCCTGAGATACATTCGCTCCCTGCCAGTTCCTGAGTCTCCTTGTCCCTATATTCAGGGTGAATTTAGCAATGACCCTTCTAAAGTATGAAGCTGGTGATTTGTAAGAAGCTATGTTGTATGGCAAATTAGACTGGGCATAAAAATGAGTGAAAAATAGCAGATCCTGTCAGAAAAGTATGCAATCTTAATCTCTGATCTGAAGACCACAGAGGTAGATAAAAACATTTATTTTGGCTTCTGTGTAATGAACATGTGGCAAAATATAGGAAAGCCAAAGTATATATAGGAGTAAATTAAGTTATGCACTTACTAGGAATAATTCTGCTAGCTAATTTGGGGAGATTAAAAGAATATTTTTCACATCTGTATCTAAAACTTAAGCAATGTAGCATTACAGAAGGTAAAATCATTGTCCTTCATTTGGACTTTTAGGAGCTGAAAAGCTCTAGAACTGCTAGGATAATGCTTTCCAAACATGTAATAAACTATGCAAAGAGAAAACAGTAATTTGTTCTCTGTATCTGGGATGGATTGATAGCTAGAACAAGGGAAAACGGGCTTAGATTGTGTAACAGAAGTTTCAGGCCAGGAGTTAGGTAAAACCTCCTCAGATGAAGAATACTGAAGTTATGGAGGCATTGTGGAGTTGGTGTCACTCAAATTCTGGGACAACAGGGTAGACAGATATCTGGCAGGAAAGATGGTATAACTGAACCTTTTCTGGAGTGGAGGAATGGGCAAGGTCACCTCTCCAAGTGTCACCCTGAAACGGTTAGACATTTGAGGTATCTGTTCCCTGTCCTTAACAGGAAAAGCACCAAAAGAGCTGTCTCTCTCTAGCCATAATCTTTAGTAGAATGTGAACTGGCATGAACCCATTTATGAAACAGGGGAGACACAAACTCTGGCTGAGAAAAATGTAAATAGGTTTTGAAAATAACTCTAGCCCTTGCTAGTGTTATCCTTTCCTTTATTCCTGTGTTCCTTCTTACAACTTTCCGTGGCTTCTTAGTTCAAACAATTCTCTCTGGGCCCCAGTTGTCGTCTTGCCGTCTCCACTGAGGTTCACTCCTGTCTGCTCCTTCCTTTTCCCAGCAACCTCCCAGGCTCTGTCCTCGCTGCCTGCTCTGTCCTTGCTCATCCTTCCTCTCTCTGCTTCTCCCAGCTTGTACTTCTCCTCGTGAAGCATGCTCAGGGGCCCTGGGGAAGGGACTATTGGCCTTTCCATCCTCACCCGGCGTTGGCATGAGGTAGAAGAGACAGCTTCTTCATTTTTTTCACAGCAGAATAAACAGTGAACACATAAAACCAAACCTTTCTATCACACTTCTCTAGATTAGTTATATTTTCTATGCTTCTAAGTAGCTAAGTACACATTTTGAAGATTTTTCCAAATGTTAGCAAATTGATACTTACAGGGTGCCACAAGGTTTCATAATGGGTCTGTGTTTTAGTATATATTCATTCATTCTCTAGAAAGGAGAAAGGAATAGATTTATCTGAGCTATTTTTAAGCATTGTGGTTTCTTAGTCTAGTCAATAGTGGAGACAGCAAAATTGCAAGAGGAATATCAAATGCTACCAAAGAAAACTGAATGGTTAATGCAAAGTATGGGAAATATGTAAGTATCTGGGAAAGGTCACATGCGACATTGTTTGTATCTCAAGAAAAGGTTCAATTCATGCTAAATAGTACTCAAATAAGCAAACAAAATTGTAGGCTGCACTAAAAATAACATTGAAGAGAATCCCGAGACTGTAACACAGTGGGTTTATTAATTTTTTTTTTTAAATACTGTGTTTAGTTTTATTACTTTGTCGAAAAAAAAAAAAATACCAGGAGATGTGTAACTGAAATGATTAGGGTTCTAGAGAGAGTGTTATTTGAAGAGGATTTAGAAGTCTGGTGCTGGTTAGTTTCCAGAGCACAGGAATAAGACAGGTCAAACTAAACATATACAACACAGTAAATCTTAGGAAGAAAGTTAATCACATGCTTTCTATTTATTCTATTTCTATTTATGTTTTCTGCTATACTCGACAAGGGAACATTAAATTACACTGAAAGCAAATAGCAACAAAGATAAAATTAATAAATGGAAGTACCATTACAAATATTCAGTGATCTAAATCCCTTTGTTTCAAGATACCCCTGAAGTCAGAAGGTTAGTAGAATTCAGTTAAACACTAGATGGGTCTCTGGGTAGCACAAATCTTTCAGATACGTTAGATGCAAAATTTCACAATTAGATCCTGGGACATTTAAAACAGGAAAAGGAAATTTAAGGGTTAGTGTATCTTTGATGGAATCAAAAACTTGCTTGCTATGTCACGTTGCAGGTTAGTACACTACCATGTTGCATAAAAACTGGTAATAATTAAAAACAGTGGTATGTGTTTCAAGGCTTTTATACAAACTAGAAATAAACTTTGCTTACTTTTTTCTTTAATAAATTGTTTCATTTGAATATTGACTTTTAATTTAATTTTGACTTAATATTTTGTCATTCTGAGGTCCTTATGAATTTTTCCTTTCTTTGAGGCAATGCTCTTGGTTTGTCAGTGATTTGCATGGTAGCACATGTTGGGTTGTGGCCAGCTCCTAGTCCCAAGTTAGCAGTAGTTTGTTGAGCTCTGGAAAGATTAATATCTAGTTTTCTCCAACTGTGAGGGTCGTTCATTCTTCTTTGGCCTCCATTAGAGAAAACCAGAGGGCTTCCTCAGGAACCTGAGAGTTAGTGAATCCTGTTTAGGGAAAAAGGGGAAGTTTGCTTTTAGAAATACTCTGAGTAAATTAGAGGTATATAATCAAACTCAAGATTGTCAGTAAAAGAATATTTTTTCTTTTAACCTTATAAGATATTCAGGATTGCTTTTAGTCTGGCTTTGCTCTAGCTGCTGGTTATTATTTAGTGCATGTAATATATATATATATATATTTTATTTTTGAGATTACAGCTCATTTCATAATGTGCTCTTCAAGCTCAGGCATGTCTCATTTGGTTAGTGTTTTGCACTGGTTAGATATTGATTTGCGTTGCATTTTAGTCTAATCTGAATTCAGACTGTTTGTAGTATATTAAAAATGTAAAGAAGCAAGTAAATTGCCTCCCTAAACATACTTAAAATTATAACATAAATATTCTCTTCTTTTTTTTTTAATGAATAAATTTGAAAGGACCATCTATGCTTTAACTGCTCTATTCTCTATGGAGTTGCAGATCAGATTTAATTAGATAAGTTTGTGTCTGCAGTGATTCTTTTTTTATGCTTCGCATGTCTGCAGCCTTTGAAAGGACCACAAAGAGACTCAGGTTTCAGGTGCTGTGTCATCAGTTTTGATCACGTTACACAACTGAATGCCATAATGCTTTTAACAATGCAATTTAGTGAATCTAATCTGTATCTGGATATTAGTAAAGAGATAGCGGGCTTTAGAGTTTTTTTGTTATTGCAGTTCAATACTTACTGCTAAAATAATAGACAGAAACAAATGGTGATATTTATTATGTCAAAATGCATTTCTATGTAGCTGTCCTGGAAACTGGGAAAAACTTCACACCCTAACTTATCTATAATGTATTAATACACTGCAGGTGATCTTTGCTACTCAGTTATTGATTTTCACAGTTTAAATATGATGTATTTCTGTTTTAAGGACATTTGTTGTACTGACATTTTTCTCTCCGTGTATCTTTGAATTTTTCTTACAGTAGAAAAATTCATTCACCCTGAATTCTTTTTCTATATATAGGTAGTCAAATTGCCACCTTTTCTTTGCAATTAAAGAATATAGAGAAAATAAAATCAAGATAGTGTTATATCAGCAACTTTTTCACCCCTTTTAAGGAGTTTAGTTAAATAGTGATTATAAAATCCAATATATTTATAGTATTGAAGGCTTAGCCTACTGTTTCTTGTACACGTTATTCTGAAGAGGTCTTCTTTATTGATATGCACTGCTCTTCCAAAGTTATGCTTTTCATAAAAGCGGATAGGGGAAAAACAAAGACTGACTATTTCATTATGAAAAATATGTTTGATTGTAAGACTGACAAGAAAACAGGTTATAAAATTTCTTAAGCAAGTGCACAGAAACATAAACAAAACCAGGAATGCTTTGATGTGTCCTACAACAGGGCCTGATTCTGGCAGCACTGTTTAGCATCTCTGCATAAATATCAAGTCTCGTTGTGTGTTTCCTCCTTTCTAGGAGTTAATTCCAGAATTTTACTACCTACCAGAGATGTTTGTCAACAGTAATGGCTATAATCTAGGAATCAGGGAAGATGAAGTTGTTGTGAATGATGTTGATCTCCCCCCATGGGCCAAGAAGCCTGAAGACTTCGTCCGTATCAACAGGATGGTAAGCTGCTCTTTAATTTAGCCTAAGTAAGGAGTTCTTTGTTTTAACAAGCTAACCTAATGATGTTTTTTATCTCTTGAAAGCTAGATTTATAGGGAAAAAAAAAGTGAAGGAGAATTTGCATTTTGTCTTGCTTGACAGAACCCTTTATTTTACAATGGATTTTCCTTCCATGTGCACAAATAATGAAAAATAAAATTCAGTTATTTACCCTTGCATGAGAAAACATCAGACGGGCATGAGCTGGACAATACAGGGTAGCCTGAAAATTTTGTCTGTTCCTCCTCACCACCTTCTACATCAAAAAAAAAAAAAAAAGGTTATTATAAATGCTGGTATTTTGCAAGATATATTATATTCCTTACTTGACTGAACCTATGCACTTCCTATTCATCAGAGATGAACTGGAAGTGTAGAAGCATGAACTTAAGCCAACAACTGCAGTCTCTGAAGAAATTTTGCAAAAGAATTGCTCTGATGTAAATCACTGTGAAGTCTGCAGAATTTAAGCATGAAAAACATTTATCTATGTTGTATATTTTATATTTTTTGCTTTAATTTAATAGATAATGATTTTATTAATGATAGAGTTAATATGTACGTATGCTTCTAGTCATTTCTAGGAAAACCAAGGTATATTCTAATGTTTTGGCCAGCAATAGTTCAATTACAGTTCTGTTCTGGAAATGGATCTTCCTTAAATGCATATTGCTTGTCTGGCTTATAGAGTCAGGACTATACTTTCAATAAGCTATGGGTTTCCATACAGTTGCAGAACTGTTCACCTTGTGTGTTATTCCCTGTAGGGCTTTTGCGGCACCATTATAAGTCTAGCAGTGTTCATTTTCTTCTAATCAGTTTGGCAATTTAGTTTCAAGAGCTGTCTATTTAAAGAAACTTGCTCTTCAAGAGTTGATAGAAAAAATAGCCATATGAATTTCAAAAGACTAGAAGAATATTCTAAAAACAAACCTATTCCTAGATGTATATGATTTAGAAGTGTCATCCATTTAGAAGAGTAAATGGTTTGACACATGTACAACTGTCTCCTAAGGAAGTGATGGCAACTTCATCACTTGTGACACATGAAATGCACTGCACAAAGCATGAGAAATGTGTTCCAGGGAGTAGTCCTTCATTGGCAGGAAAAAGCTGAACAACATTTTCTTTCTTTTTCTTGGCTGATTTCTCTTATGGCTGCATATATTGTAACATTCTTTCTAAAAACAAGTAATTGTCACAGCTGGTGGCAACAAATTCAAGTGCAATTTTACTAGCAAAGAAGGAGGTGGCCTCAAAGGATCACTACACTCCGTTAGCGTTCTCAAGCGTGGGATGCGCAATCACAGGTGTGTGTCGCCACAGTGCCCATGTTGGTGCACAGAGCCCTTTTTTGGATGGTGGTTGTGGCTAAACCTGAACTGGGCCCAGGAGTAAGCACACTAAAGTTGACCAAGAGGTTTGGTTTTGACATCTGTAAGAAGAGAAGTGTGATACCTTAGTGAAAAAGGATAAACAAGCTGCCACCTATTGGGGAATATAATGAGAGATGTGTATTAATGACTCCCTTTGGGAAATTTTATAAAGAATGTTCCTTCTTGTATCCTAAATTGTGTTTTTGCCATGTTTTCTTTCAACAAAGATGGAATGATTAATAGGTGGATAAAAAGCACTATGTGATAAGAGATCACTTGAAGAGAAGCTTTAGCTTTGGCTATTTGATTTATCTCGTGCAATTTTTGCTTTGTAGAAAATAGCCTAAGAGCTCTCTATAGAAGAGTTTTGTGTTGCTGAAGAAAACAGCTGCTTCCATGGATTTAGAGTGTAATATTTATGCCTCTTCAGGACTATACTTTCAAGAAAGGCTGATAGCTAAATGCTGGAAGTACCTTTTAAATATTAAGCTGTAATAGCACTAATGACTGATTTCATATGTGTGTGAGTATGCTCAGACTGCCAGGAGACACACAAACTGATGTTGAGATTAGAGTAGTGTTAGATTTACAGTCTTCAACTAATCAAGTACTTTGCAGATTTATAAAATCAGAAATGATCTCACTTATCTATCATACCCTTCCTATACTGTCTTCCACCCCTGTCCCCACAGATGTGAGCATCATGCTGTTATAACACAGTTTTGCCCGGAGGCAGTTTCTGCATGGCCTTTATTCATCCCAGCATCTACTTTTAGCAGGAGCACGATCAGTAGTTAAAATTCAGTTCTATACAGATACACACTATCTTCAAGTGAGCAGTCTGATGAAGTTCACAAATGATAATAAAGTTGGGAATTGCCTAGAAAACAGGAGATAGAGGCATAGATTTAGTACTTCTGAAAATCACCTTGGGAGGAAAGAATTAAAAATATTCAATAAGAAGCAGAAGTCTGGAAACAAAAATAGTACCAAAAATAGAGCAGTAGCAAGGGAAGGGTGACAATAAGCAGCAATTATATTAGATAAAACTCTGTAATTCTATATTCACCAGAAGTAAGTGTATTTCGATGCCATCTATGGAGAATCATTGCATCACAGAGGATGTAACCAATTTTACCTGTCTATGGTCCTTTTGAGACTGCACCTGGAATATTGGATTCACTTCTAGGTGACTGGATGACAGAAGAAGTATTCACATTTGGATGGAGTTCACAGAACAGAAACAAAGTGAATGACTTTGGGATGTCTAAAGAGCATGACAGTTGCATAGTTTTTTATAAGGCTTATAAAGTAGCAAGTAGCTAAAGAAGGATAATCCCTTTCACAAAAATGCAAACAGTATGTGTAGTAAGAAGTAGTGGAATTACATTTTGAAAGTGTAATAGTTTGAATGTGCAATAATTTTTCAGAAAAACTTTCTCTCGTAGGGTTTTTTTAGCGCATACAGTAAACTGCCAGTACACTGTCCTTTTGGTTGCTAGAACTAGACTGGGCAAAGTAAGGAACAAATATAAAGGGACTGGAAAGTTTGACATTCCCTACCTAATGTCTGATTCCGTATTTTGAACCGGCCAGCAGATGTATTATTCAGTTAGGTCATCCCCAGGCCAAGCTTTGGCTGTTAGACAAGAATCTATCTTGAGAAAAAGAAAATAGCCTGGGTGTGGTGCTGACGTGTAAAATACAGCAAGCTTGTGCAAGCCTGGAATTTCTACAGCAACTTAGCAAAGCAAGTAAAGTACATGTTTACAGGAAAGCCACAAAAAATTGAGGAATATTTCAAGTAAGTGTTATCCTGATCCCTTGTCTAATGAAATCAGCAGTAGCCATTTCATTTCAGTGGAAAGGATCCTATGTGATACTGCATAACATAGAGTGGGATCTTGTTTTTCCCTCACTGACAATATTTTCTTCTGTTCATACACATTTTTTGCTTGCTGCAGGCATATATAATGTGTAATTCTATGTGGGAGTAAATACAAATCCTTATATACAGCCTACTTGCACATTTATGAATGGAAACATTTTCTTTAAATAACAGCAAGAATTTCAGCATTTCATCCTGAGATTTACCAAAGCAAGTAGATAAAAGCCTAGAAAACGTCACAGAGGCACAGTCACAAAAATCAACATAACCAATTGGTTAACAAGCTTTACTAAAAATCTGTGCAAATTAATAAATGGCAGGCAGGGTTTTGGTGTTGTTTTATTTGATTGTTCAGCTGGGTGTTTTACTAAACTAACTAAACACACAAATGGAAGTGGAAATCGTCTTCCATCAAAAGAGATTCCTTTAAACTTGTGAAAATTAGACTTATTACAAAGACCGGAAAAGACATTCAGTCAAGTTACTTTTAAGACCTATTACAGTGGCTTCTAAAGCACTCAGTGTATACGTCAGGGATTGTTGTAGCAGTTTTATTTATCCATACAAAGCTAGACTGATTACTACAGAGTTACTCATGAAACATTAATAAAGCACTATGTTCAATGCTAACATGGTTATGGTCTGACCTCAGCGATGGCACAAAGGACAGAGGCAGAAAGTGTCCCTGATAACATTACCCTAATGCTGGGCTCATCAATCATAATCTCCCAGTTTACCAGGAAAAAAAAAACCCACGCATAAAACCTTCCACAGATGTGCATCTGTAGTCGTACTCAGCCTCTCAATCCCCACAGACTTAGAGCAGTCCTGAGAGCCAGAAATAGAACAGATTCAGTCAGTAAGTCAAGCATGTTAAATCAAGGCAGGGAACACCACTGTGAAACACTGAAGCAGAGCTTTCATAATAAGCGTTCTTTAGTTTTGAAACAAAAGATGCAAGATTGTGTAATTCAAAGTTAATTATAATGATATTTTCATTATGGCGCATACACATATTCAATTACAAATTACAGTGTTGAGTAAAATGCATTCACTATAAATTATATTTTTGAGAGACTAAACGGTGTCCTGTTTTTGTTATACATATTTTGTTCCTATTACATAACTGTTACTAAGATTGAATTTTCTTTCTGTCTTTGAAATTATTTATTTGCACTCTTTGCTGCCAATTACATTTTTGTACAGTTCCCTGGCTATTCAGAAGCATGCATAGTATTTCATAATTAAAAAGCTTCTTGAATAGTCGTTAGAAACATCTATTATGAAATCTCTGTGCTATGAGGATCTGGAAGATTTATCTTTTCTCCTCACCATTCAGCAGCAGTTGACATTCCTTTTTTACCAGATAAGCAGTAGATAAGATTTGATATTACTTCCTCAGTAGTAGCTTTGATTTTATTTTGTGTATTGCCAAGGTTTGTTCTCAATGCAATTAAAACTCATTCAGCTAACAGAGGTTTCAATCTAATTTGGAAATAGCAGTGATTTTTTTTTTTTAACTTTCTATGTCGCTGAAGAATCTTATTTGCATCTTGAAGATGCTCACTTAAAGGATCAGTTTCTGTGCAGACATCCATGAATAACCCAAATCTGTAGAATGCACTTCTGTGTCACTTTTATTAAAATATTACTTTGTTTAAAGAAGCATAACTCATTTCAGATATCAGTATTGCCTGTTTTATTTTATGACAAGAGTCAAAGATTTTACTCCGATAGTCAGTACAAGAAATGGTAAATGAGGCAGGGAAATATTAGGCAGAGAGAATCTATATGTTCAATGGCTGCAGAGGAGCACGGATGTAAGGGGAGAGAAGATAACCCAGCTCAGAGGCTGAAACAGCCAGTGGTCTGATATTGAGCAGATCTACAAAACCAAAGTGTCTCAGAGTAGTTTTAAGAAAATTTTCTTAAATATACTGAATATAAGTTAATGGCAAGATTACTCCTACCGTGGTAGGAGTTCTTGGAGAGACAGAGAGCGTGTAGCTATGGAGGGGAGAGAAACAAGGCAGGAACTGCAGAAACAGGAGGGGCAGGTGCAGCGGTGGTCCAGACGATGGGCAGCATCAGAGCTTTCCTCTTGTCTGGTGACAAAAAATATCCAGGTAACACAAAACATTGCGTTAGAAAGAGGTTGCAATAGCATATTTTATAAATCCAGAACTGCTGATACTTTGCACAGCACATAGTGTGCATTAAAATAAATGTCAATGTCTCCTACTGGAATCTCTGTGAAAAATAATTTTAACATCAAATTAGCATGAGCGGAGAGGAAAGTGTGCAGCGTTCATACTGCACAGTGGTCTGAGAAGAGCTATAGTACTTGATCCCACTAAGCAATAACTTGGCTTATATTAACTTTATTTAGTTTATATATAAACATAAACTTACTAATACTTACATATATTTTACAACAGCTACAGGTCAGATTTTCAGCCCGTGGAACGTGTGTGCATGCACTTACTTGCAAACACACAAAAACCACAGTACTTTTACTTCAAAATATGTATATACTACATGGATAATAATGCTTGCAATTTACCTATTAGCAATATAAGTCAGTCCATTGAAAACAGCAATGTGAGAGACTCCTTCCTCAAAACCCATGAAAAAACACAGACTGGACTGCTGCTATTTGAAAATGAAGCACTGGTAACAGTGATTGAAGCAAGTTCAGTTTGAGAGTGCCTGAATAAAACACCGTTTTCTGTACATTATAATTATAATAGAAAACAAGCTGGATATTAGCTCATTTCTATTTAACAGTAAGAATCTTTAAAAACCATAAGTAATTAAAAACATAAATAATATTATATATTTATATTAGTAATAATAATTATTGCTTTTCTAAAAAAAAACCCCAAATTGTTTCCTTATATTTCATATTGAAAATGTGCTCAAAAAATTAAATGCTTTAAAGCTAGAATGTTCTTGAAAAATGCTGTTCTTTAGGGCCATCACCAGCCTATTTTAAGGATAATATTGTTATCTTCTTCTGTATGTTGTTCCTACTGTACCTACAAATTATTTTTCACGCAGAAAATTCCCTCACCCTATTCCCTACTGAGCATTGCATATTCTTGAGAAACCAAAGGATGTACTGTTGACAGTGAACAGCTCATAAATTTTCAGGAGGCACTTACATGGAGGGGGAGCAGCCTCTGCATTAGAGGAAATTAGGGAGAGGATTCTGCAAGCATCGCATGAGTAGCGTTGCAGGAGTACTTGGGAGAAACACCAGCAAACCAGGTCAGACCTGACATCAGAAGCTTTCTCCTGACTAAAATGAATCCAGGCTATTAAGCACAGATCAGGAGCCTTGTCCCCACCGAGCACCAGGTAGGACTTTGTAGCCTTTTGGTGGCCCGTTCTTGAGTGCACCCTCACCTGGTGCCCTACACCACATGACGCCCTGATGGGAAGAACGTGGACATCACACAGCGCCCGTCACAGCCCGCAGCTGGAGGCCATGTGGTGCTAAGGCCCATGCAGAGCAACTCCCCTTCCCCGCTCTGGCTCCTCTCTCCACCTTCCAGTCGGATCTCTGCCCCAAATATCCCCACCACACCCATCTTCCACCACACAGCGCCTGGCAGGCACAGCGCTGTTTTTCCCCTTGCCACCACCACCATCCTCGTGTCCCTGGCAGCAATTCTTCCGACTTCCAAACTTCCGTGGAGTTCTTAAATTTATAGTTCAAAATGATTAAACTCACTCCTTACAAATCTTGTGTTGCATTTCAGCATACAGACCTTTAAAGAACAATTAGACCTATAAACATAGTACAATAAATCTGCTTGAAGAATCTGAGACAGAAGACATGACATGCTGCTGTTAAAAAGTAGCTCATTTGTTTAATAAGTTATTAAAGAACCGTTCACCCATGTGGAATAGAAGTTCTCCAAACCTGCCAGGGTCAGTAAGACCTTCTCTGGAATGACAAGCTGCTGAGTAAGGGCTGGTCATGCAAGTAGAAACTGCCTCAGGGAAACATAACATAGGCATTCAACTCTCCTAACACCAGGGAGAGGATGTTAGAGGAGATAATGGGTGAAATACGCTCATCTGACCCAAGCATTTGTTTTTTCAAATTTGCTCTCCCACCTTTAAATAGCCAAAAGGTTTGCCCTTTTCCGGAAATGCTCTCCATATTCTAGAAAAAACGCTATTTTTGACCAAAGCAAACGCCTAACATTTTTTTTTTGTTGTTAATTACTTTTTAATAAATAAATAAATAACAGATACAGATGCAGAAGAAACTTATAAATATGCAGAGTTCGGAGAAGGAAGTGAACAGCTAGACTTCTTGCTGTAAGTCGGTTGGAGATGGATGCTGGAAAGACAACAGGCTTTAAATTCTATTTTAAATTTTATTACATACAAAGGAACATTAAAAATTGAGCACTTAAAAGTTAGGAAATGCTTTATTTATGGTTACTGTGGCATACTTAATTTCATCTTTGCATGCTAACATCCTGCATGCTAAATGAGGTAAAAGTCCTATGAAAAAGATGATGTGGGTTGATGTAGTTGCTGACTGTATCATGTTGCACGCACACAATACAGTATCATTAAGGATCTGGCATTTCTTAATTATTTATTGGGAGACATGCTTTGAAACCAAATAGCATTAGTTTAATAGTATTTAGCATTAAGTAGTATTAATGCTATTTAAATAATATTACTCGCAATTTACATATGATGGCCCCTGATTTTGGAAAGGAACCAACAATTTTTTTTATGTGGTTCTCGGCAACATTTCTTTATAGCTTCTTATGGTATGCTGAACTTAAGCCCTTGAAAACAGAGCTACATGTCAGCTATTAAGCCTGAGCCTTCCCATCCATTTTCCTCAGAAATAACAGTCACTGGTTTCGACAGAAAAGGCTCCAGTTTTCCACCAAAGCACAGAGAGTTCCTCTTCCACGTGGAGCAGTACAGGGAGCACGTTTGAGGCGGGATTGCATGATTACCCCGGTTTGTGCTGGGTAGTGGCCCTGTGCTAGAAACAATGGAGGAATTAGGATTTCTCAGGGGAATTTAAAAAAAAAAAGCCACAATCTTTGAGAATGAAAAGTATTAGATAATGCAATATAGAGGGCTGCTGCCAGCTCTGCCTGTATGCTGAGCAGTAGTAGGCTTGACATAATGAATATGTATTAAGGCTGGTATTATTTTTTTTAAAAGCGAGCCAGGCTCTTTTCAGTGCTGCCCAGTGACAGGACCAGAGGCGATGGGGACAAACTGAAACACAACAGGTTCCCTCTGGACATCAGAAAACACTGTTTTACTGTGAGGGTGCCTGAGCACTGGCACAGGTTGCCCAGGGAGGTTGTGGAGTCTCCATCCACAGAGGTATTCAAAAGCTGTCTGGGTATAGTCCTGGGCAGCCTGTTCTAGGTGGCCCTGACTGAGCAGGGAGGTTGGACCAGGGTGTTTCCAGAGGTTCCTTCCAAACTCAGCCATTCTGTGATACTGTAATTTATTTTTTTTCCTGATAAACTAATCAGAAGTTAGTTCCCAGATCTGAGAACTGGACTGCGCTTGTTCTGATTGGAGGGAACTAGGTATACAACGCTGTACAATGTATATCACAGCACTGTGACAGAGTTTGGGCAAGGACACGTATAAAAACTTGGTCAATGAATCATGAATCTTTATTTTAATACCAGTTCCTGTTTATCACAATTCTTCTCTGAAGGTAGCATTAGGAAAGAAGGAACGAGTGTGCCAGGATGCTGTCTTAAATACATGATGAGTCTTTATAGGAGAATGGTTTGTGTATCCAGGTGCAGCTTCATGGGAAACTAAGATAGGTAGTCTGGGAGAGGGGTGAGGAGAAACTATGTAATGCCTTCAGCTTTCAAAAGCTCCAGTTCAGGCAATGATATCTACTAAGGATACCAGTCATGTCTGATGAAGGCACATTGGTCAGATCAGGCACAACGGTAATACTATCATCATTTCCCCTGTCTAGAATTAGTCTCTTTCCATAAACCGAGCAAAGGAATAGCAATCCATTTTTAAACTAGCTAATCACGGCCTGTGTTTTCTCTGGTGAACCAACCTAATGTCAAAAATGAGTGCGAAAAATGCTTTTCTCCTTTGAGAAATTAGCCACAATTCACATATGGAATTCAGAACCTCATTTTGCCAATACAACTTTTGAATCCTCAGGTTTCCGTTTTAGATTTAAGACTAATTAGAACTAGTTGGAAAATGAGTTGGTAGACTGAATTTTTGAAATTAGTCTCCCTTTTTCATCAGTTTTTCTTGACAAATCACCTAAATTATTTGCCAAGGCCAAAAATTAATAATTAAAACCCTTGCAGCTAGGAGAAACCCAGTAGCTGAGACGAAAATTGGCATGATGTAAAGCTGAAGGAAAGAAGAATTTCTTTTTAGTGTTTCTTTCAATATAATAAGTTCTGTGTTTTTAATGTTTGAAGGATTTCAAATATATCAAATAAGCCTGAATGGGAAATATAATGATACCTATTGTATTTCCTCAGTTAATAGGAAAAGGTAAGACATAATTTAAGCATGAAATTGCAAGATGGAATTTACTTCCTAACTCTGAATTTCACTTGCAGGCCCTGGAAAGCGAGTTTGTATCGTGTCAGCTTCATCAGTGGATTGACCTTATATTTGGCTACAAGCAACGAGGACCAGAAGCAGTGCGTGCACTCAATGTTTTCCACTACCTAACATATGAAGGCTCTGTGAACCTGGACAGTATCACTGATCCTGTCCTCAGGGAGGTAGGTGTTTACTGCCATTTCGTTCTAAAAACTGCTGTCAGCTTACAAGAAATGGTACTTTTTCCATCGTTCACTGCTGGAAAAAATTGTTGTATGCAACTTTGAATCAGAACTTTAGCCCTAGGTGACTTCAGGAGCAAGGATTAATAAGCTAGCAATAAAACAGGTGTCCCAAAGTATTTTGTTTGCTTGAAGTTACTAATATATTTAATGGTCAGTTATGATACAGGAAATTATAATGCAATGTATATCCTGTAATACATATTCTGCTACTTTTTATAATTTACTTTTATTAAGTTTACTTAGTAGAACTGAAAAGCTGAAAGAAAAAACTGCATCATAGTCACAGGAAAAAAATCTAACCTTTTCAGTCAGATAATGTTGGTGAGAATATGTATCTGAAAAAGAATTTATTTTCTGGAGTGACAGAAGCAATTATTCAGATTACTTCTGTGTTAATCGCGTAAAGTATAATCAAACTGTTGCCAAAATAGGAACAATTTTCTATTTGTTGTGCATACAAGTATTTGTTTCTATATGCATATGTGTGAAATACATATATAAGTGTGCATGTATGCAAGTAAGCATTTTAAATTCAACAGTAAACTAAAAAAAAATTTTACTACCTATCCTGATACATGTTTCCTTCCAATGACTGTATTTGTTTTTAGTAAGACAATTAATTTGAATGATTATTTTCTAATATCATCCATTCGCTGGCTAAAACAATTGAAATTTGCTGAAAAGTGTGAAGAAGCAACAGCTGCTAGATGAGTACCGCTGTGATGAAGCTGTACACACAATCTTCCATTCCCCCAGATAGCTGCCATCTGCTGTATGCAAAACAGTAATAATTTATACATTGCCAGGCGATGGGTTTTTGTTTGTTTGTTTGTTTGTTTTCCAATCTTGGAGACAGAAATTACAGATTTCAGAAAGAAACAGATTCTAGAAAGCATTCGTATTCAGCTAAATACTGGGGTTTGGCATGTTGTTTTTTAGTAGACTGTTGTTGCATCTTGTTACATGTGGTGCTTTTTGAGGAGCAGAACTGAAAAAACATTCTGACCCCTACCTTCCTCGAGTTGGATTTCACACCATGCAGTGCAAAGCTTATATTTTCTGAACAGTTAGTATTTGCTTAGTTTTAAGAACGGACAGAATTGCTTTGATCCCACTACTTCATATATTTAATGTTAACATCTACATCATGGTTTTCTGGATGTAAAACTTTGAGCACGAGAAGAGTCGGTAAGGTACAGAACTGGAGATACGAAGGAGCAATGCTTTTTAAAGTATAAAACAGGTGTCAAGCACCATGAATACAAGGGATTTGCATGGCTTAAGGTCCTGATTTGCATGGGCAGACTCCCATGTCTTGACTTTAAGGGTCTACTCCCACAGGGGAACTTGTAGGATTGAGGTCTATCTGTCTGTCTGTGCACCTTGTTTAACATCTTATGACATGATGAGACTCTTCAGCTCTCCTGTGGCTCTACTTACATGCATAACTTGTCATCAGAAATTTCAAGAAATTCATGGAGATGTTTTTGTTCACTCACTTGTACATCTAACCCTGTCAGTCAGTAGCATATAAACCTTTTCTTAGGCTACTTATACCATGTAAACTTCTAAAAGCAGAACTTCATCTTCATTGCCACAAGTTAGAGTAGTAAATAAAATTAATGGTTAGGAATGAGAAGGCTAAAAATTAATCCTTCTGATTTTTGTTATATAGAGACATATAAAGTTGCATGCAAGCATTTAAAAATAGTATACTTTCTCCTCCAAGAGATCTCAGACATTGGTGATTTCTGGTTTGTTATAAAAAGGTTAAAAATACTTTTTATTCGGTTTTAATCAACAATTACAATACATGTGTAAATACAGACAGATTTAGAGTCTTCTTCTGTTTCCCTGAGCTCTATTTATGAAACTAGCAGACATTCTCTAGCCAGTAATAAAGCATTTGACATCTTGACGATCTAGCAGATCACGTATGTGGATGTCGTGTTTCTGTTACAAGTATATATTTCCTATATGAATTGTTTTGTTGGATTATTTTTTTTTTTACTTTATTCTGACTTTTACTAGATAATAGATTTTTAAATATTACTAGAAAATAAATTAGAAGCTAAAAGATCTTTTAAAAGTCTCTGAATACCACTTATAAGTACAGGAATGTAATGATAGGAATACTAGCACCGTTAAAAATAGTGATAACAATTGTTTAGTATGTTTTACAGTGGCAGGTGGTGGCGTTTTGCATCTTAACTTAGAAACACTGCAATTTAAAATTAATTGAGCTTTGCAGCTGTCCAAGAAAATGCGTATCTCTGTATCCAAAAGCTCTTGATGTTTATTTTCTAAATAAACTGAAACTTTTATGTTCTGTCACACAGAAGACGGTGAACATTCTCAATAAATGGCTGTGAAATAGCCCAATCAATACAACCTCATTGGCATCTGCCATTAGCAGACCAATGGACTCAAATACGGTGGTAGCCTCCTCATACTGTGGCTGCGGCTAATTTTGTATTGAGCTGAGTCCCAGCAGAACCTGTCCAGTGAAATAAGGCTCCAAATAAAAACACCTCCCATGTATGTCTGAGCTGATTGAAAGACATCATTTAAAAAGGCTGATCCCTGTGAGCTGTTCATGCTATACGTTGGCCCTTTCACTCTCACCCTTTGCTTGAGCACCTCACTTAACCACTGAGGAATATGTTGTTCTTAGCTTTCTGTGAAGAATGGCAAAGGAGTCACTTAAGTAGCCTTCTGGCTAGAGCAAAAATATATTCAGTGGTGGGATAACTCACGTCTGCCATTCCTTACGTCTTTCTCAGATGCATGGGGAAGCCCTCTAAGAATTCTCTACTGTTTAACGCTGGAAAAATGGCCATCCTGCACTTTTGATCTGTTTGGACCTATTTAGTAGAAGATTCTCCATCTGGCTTGCTTTCTTCGTTTTCTGTTTTGCAAATTCATGATGGGCGAAACCGGAATGCTGGGATAGCATTAAATTTTAGATTACTAAAGTCTGTGAAGTCACATATGCCTGCCCCCATGATAACTCTTTGGCAACTTAAGATCTGCACTGGGTGGGTAAAATATACTGATTTCATTTAAACATTCTGATTCTGATTTTTCAAACAACTTTGTAATTTTCTGATAACACAAAAAATATTTGATCATTATAATTTATTTCAAGTAGTGATGAGGGCAACATGAAAGTCCTGACTTAAATGCTCCACAGAATGTACACAATTGAATTCTGTTGTTTATATCTGTTATGATTAGGAATTGGGAAATTCTCCAGTTCTATCAGTTCTAATGGTCTCTTTTATTCTGCATATTGCAAAATTGTTATCATATTGTAATAAGGAGCAGAAAAAATGTGCAACAAAGTAAAATTATTCTTTTGTTTGCTTTTTTTTTATTGGAACCTTTTGTATTCTATTTGTAAATCTTTCTTTTTTCAAAGTAAAAGCAGTGAAGTGAAAGGTAAAACTTGAAGAACAGCTTAAGGATATTGATTCATTCTTACTTGACAGGTGAAATCATGGTTGCAGCACTAACCACAGCAATTACAGCATTAAAATGTCAAGAAATTAGAGGTCAGAATAACAGATAATTTTCTTCCTTTTGTCAGATTAAAAATTGACATTCTTTGACAGCACAGGATCTCTGGCTGAGAAGATTATGACAGCTTAACTCATCTTGTACTTGTAAAGCAGTAATTGATAATGAACTTTACCATGACAGTCTTCTCCTGTGGAGAAACATGACAGAACATCCCCGGTACAAAGCCTGTATCTCTTTTTAATATGTAAACAGTAGTTATATTGGACATTAGATGTTATTTGGAATTGTCTTTACTGTTAGTTTACATCATAATCCAAATCCTTTCCACTGGACAGATTTGGCTGACTTCAGGGGGTTGATGCTGAGAATGCTGATGTATAAAGAACAATGTCGGAAATACTTATGGTCCTTTGATGTTATTGGTTCACTTCTTTAGGAAAATGTAGTTCTTCCCTTGGTTTCTCCCAAAATGTCTATAGATTTTGGGAGCCTCATTTTTCCCAAATACCTGTAAATTTGGACACTCAAAAATCAACAGAGTTGTGGTTTTTTTAAAGTTTGGAACTTGTTTCTGCATGATGCAAAGTGTTGTGGCAGAAAGGGAACAGCACAGTTACACTGGTCATTAAAAAGGTAACAGAAGAGTTAAAATTATCTTCAGTGCTATGTTGTAGATTAAACACAAAATAATTAAGTGGGCATGTTCAGTCAGTGCGTAATAGATGTAGTACTGAAAGCACATCTAGTTTGCAGAAAAATACTATTTCAGGTGTTCTGTTTATTTGTTTAAAATCATGGCAAGATGTCTAACTATGTTTTTTTAGACATGCAGCTTGTTTGTGCTTAAAAATGTTTTGAAAAATCAAATGCAACATTATATTAGGCAGCTGTGGGTTTGCGCTAGACTTTAGGCGAACTTTGTGTCATCCCTGTGTTGGATGTGAGCTGCAAATACAGCTTAGGAGTGCAGTACACTGACTTTTCTGCGACTGCTGCATCTTGTGTCCCCCCCAGTCTGACAAGAATTGCAAGTGCGTAGGCAAGCAAGGTGATGTGAAGCTACTGGGCTCAGATATTTGTTCTGAGCAGCCACCTGTCAAAATACCTGAGCATACTCACAACTCGCACAGCAAATTGAAAAATGATTAAAATTGCTAGTGTTTGACAGGCAGTTGCTGTGCCCGTAAACTAATCCTAGTAGGACAGTTTTGCTGGCAGCTAACAGAGCATATGGCCTATGCAATATTTATTCCTTCAGTGGTGACTTGATATTTAGCATATTTAAATAATTTGAAAAGTCATAATGATGAGGTAGTCTTGCAGTGCTTTTCAGTTACCCTCATTTCTGGGTTTTATTTTTCCTCTTATATTTTCTTCTGTTATCTCTTTCTTTGATCTGACAGGAATAACAAAGC